GCACATGGTGGGGTGTCCACTGCCTATTTATATGTGAAACAACCTAATAAATTACTATATACCTATTTACCCAAAAAAAAATTAATATAGACCCCAAGCACTGAATGTACCTCAAATTGCAATTACCTAGTTTGAATTTTCTACACCTAGTAGTATTTTTTTAATGTCAACTTGGCTTAGTTTCATTTTTAGCGGAACTGGAATTGGTATCCCATTAAAGACAAAACTTTGCAAAGCAAGAAGCCAAGAATCCTTGCGGAGAATCTTGAGGGGAATTTTGTCCAGCTCCTGATGCATTCGCGTCCCCATTAATTCGCGTCCCCATTTAATAAATTTAAGAAGTACTAGGATGAGGGCAGGGGAATCTGAAATTTTTTCGCTAGATTTCTTCTGGTTCATGAGAGATTGATGTGTTTTGAGGCTTTAACGGTTTACATTTTCCATGTCTTGCCGTGTTGACTTTGAAATGGGGCGGAAAATACTTATCATACTCTTTTATAACATAGTTTTTAATTAATTGATAAAAACATTATTTAATAAAACTGATCAACCCGTTGTAGTTGAGAAATAAATTATGAAATTTTATTTAATTAATAATGTGTAAGGGGTTTTTTTTCCTTTTTGAACATCAAAGAAATGTAAGCTGTCAAATAATCAATGGACTATTCACAAACTAGTATACCAACAATGAATTATGCAATTAGCTATTCAATCTCCATTGCTACCCTCCTATCCTTCTAACACGCAGGTAGATCATATCATATGGTATGCATGTATAAGATTACGATGCCCGGTTTGCCTTGACATGTGTTAGAAATAGAAAAAGAAGAATAAATATTTGAAGAAATGTTTATTACTTTCTTATTTTCATTGTATATACAAAGATCCTATATATAGAATTATACAATAGAATATTTTTAAGTATAAAACTAATTAACTTAAATATATATAATCAATAACAATGTAAACATAATATTCTAACATAAATGGTGATATTCTAAAATAAATGCTGATATTCTAACATCTCTGCAAACTCAAGGTGGTGGTGAGGAAACCGACTTGAGTTTGGAAAGAAGAGTTTGGAAGCGTCCAAGGAAGTGAGCCTTGGTGAAAAATCTACAGGTTGATCAGCAGAGTTAATGAAAATCAAACGAACAATTTCCTTTGCAACATGATAAACAATAAAATGACAGTCAACCTCAATATGCTTTGTGTGTTCATGGAAGATATCATTGTGAGCAATTTGTATTTGCACTTTGATTATCACAATATAAATCAATAGAAGAACGCTGTGGAATACCTATATCTTCAAAAAGCCACCGTAATGAAAGAAGTTCTAATGTGGTATCATCAAGAGCTCTATACTTAGCTTTAGTACTAGAGCATGATGGAATAGTTTGTTTCTTAATAGTACTAGAGAATTACCAAGGAAAAGACAGTAATTAGTGGTAGATCACAAGGGAGGAGTTAGCAAAAAATTGGAGTACATGAAACAATGTTCCCTTAATATAGAAAATAATGCAAAGTACTGCTACATAATGAGTGGAGCGAGAAGCAGCCATAAATTGACTAACAATGTGAACTGCATATGCTATGTTAGGGTGTATCATGATAAGATAAACCAGACTACCAACCAATTGTCGATAGTAAGTAGGATCAAAAAGTGGAGAGTCATCCATAGGTGTAAGCTTAACATTAGGTTCAAGAGGTGTAGAAACACTTTTGCTATCGTTGAGTTCAACTTTAGAAACAAGATCAGACACATACTTCACTTGAGAAAGAAGGTAGCCATCATCAAAAGAAGTGACTTCACGGCCCAAAGAATAGCTTAGAACAGCAAGGTTTTTCATCTCAAAATTTTGACTGAAAGACCATTGTAGCTTATCAGCACCTGCGATATCATCTCCAATAATAATTATGTCATCAACATAAAGAAATAAGAGAACCATATGCCAAGAAATCTTATGAATGAATAGAGCTGTATCATGTGGATTGGAAGTAAAACCAAATTCACTCACAATAGCACTGAACTTTGCATACTAGGCTTGAGGGATTGCTTCAAACTATATAATGCATATCTTAATCAGTATGCCTTGTTTGGAGGATGATTGAGTCCAAGAGGTCGTTTCATATAAACTTTTTCTTCTAGATTTCCATTAAGTAAAGCATTTTTCACATCTATCTGAAACAATTGCCATCTTTGTATAATAGTGATAACAAGCAAATTATGCACATATGTGAGACGAGCTATTGGAGCAAATGTTTCTTCATGATCTATTCTATATTTCTGTGTAAAACCCTTGGCAACCAAGCATGCCTTGTAATGCTCCACAAAACCATCAAATTGTGTTTTGAACTTGTACACCAATTTACAGCATATCAGAGACTTTTTAGCAGGGAGATCATCTAAATCCCATGTATGAGTGTTCTCAATAGCCTATAATTTTTCTTGCATAGCTTGTTGCCAAAGAGGGTCAGAAGAGGCCTCTTGATAAAATTGAGGCTTGTGTAAAGAAGTAATAGTAGGAAAACAATAATAATCACGAAGGTAGCTTGGAGGGTTTCTTACCCAAGTAGGATGACTCAAGGAGGGGATAACGAGCTCATTTGCAAATTGAACAATATTAGATGCAACATCAATAGGTGATACAAATGAGGAAGTAGAGAAAGGCTCAAAATTATCTAATGCATTACTAGCAGGTAGATCATCTTTTGCAGAACTAGTTGAAGCATGTGGTGAGACATTGTAGAGCTCATCAGATGTACCTGCATCAGAATCACTAGGAAATAGCTGAATAGAATGATTAGTAAAAAATGAAGTTAGATAAAAGGATGACACTTTGAAGTTTGACAACAATGAGAACATAGTGTGTTCCTAAAAGACAACATTACATGAAACTCAGAGTTTTTGTAACGCAAGATCCCAACAATGATATCCTTTTTGTGTAATCCCAAAATCTAAAAAACAACATAATTGAGCTCTAGGCTCTAACTTGTTTTGTTCATGAGGTGGAAGAAGAATAAAACATGCATAACCAAAAACCTTAAGAAGATCATAGGCAGGAAAAATACCATGTAAATGCTCATATGAAGATTGGTTATTGAGGATTGATGATGGAATGCAATTAATGAGACAAACAGCTATAAGAGCAACTTCACCACAAAATTGCTCTGGACAAGAAGACGAAATGAGTAGAGCATAAACAGAATCAAGAATGTGTTTATGTTTACGTTTGGCTTGGTCATTTTGTTTAGATGTGTAAGGACAAGATTGTTGTGTCACTGTACCCTATTCCTTGAGAAAAGATTGAAGTTTAGTAGCAAAATATTCAGTAGCATTGTCAATTCTCAAAACTTTGATAATTTTAGAGAACTGGTTTTGATCATGGTAACAAAATCAATATAAAGTTGTGATAATTCAGAGTAATTTTTCATAAGATATATCAAGGTAAAACAAGTATGATAATCAATAAATAACACAAAGTACCTAGAACCCCCATGGTGGGTGTGGGGGATGGACCCCAAACATCAGAGTGCATAAGATCAAAAGGAGCAGTAGAAAGAGAATGACTACTCGAAAATGATAAAGCTAGTTGCTTTGTAAATTGACATAACGCACAATGCAAGAATTCATTCGGAACAGTTCCTAATAAACCATGACAGATAAGAGAATGAAGTTTACCAACTAAGGTATGTCTAAGCTATGAGTGCCATAAATAGAGAGGAGAAATGTTAGTAACAACATAGGCTTGCAAAATTTGTTGGTATGAAATTTGTAAAGACTCTAACTCAACAACACAAAGCAAGATTTAGATGAAGCAATCATTTGGAAATGATGATGTATCCATTTTATGATGTAGAATATGTAGATAATTGAGCTCAAACATATGCCCCACCTTATGACTAATTCCAAGAAGTTGTCTGATCTGTAGGTTTTGCATATGACAATCGTGAATGAAAAATGTTACTTCAAGGCCAAGATCACATAATTGACCAATAGATAGAAGATTATAAATAAGTTTTGGAACTAAGAGAGCATTTGGTAAAGTCAATGACTTTGTAGAAATATTGCTAATGAGACTAACATTCATAAGGGAATAATTAGTAAAATAAATATTAGAAAAGGAATTATTTGGTGACATTGAAGAGAAATAAGTAGTAGTTGAAGACTTATGGTTACAACAACTAGAATCAAAATACGAAGCTTTGGTTCTTGGAGCAGCAAATAAGGCAATAAGGTGATATTAAAAAGATTTAATATCACCTATTTTAGGGACTCAAGGTTGACATTAGGTTGGTCTATCACTTCTTTGGCAATCATAGCAATGGTAGGAAGAGTTACAGTCTTGTCAAAACTCATCATAGAATTAGTAAAACTCACAATATTGTAAAAAAATCTCTAAAAATACGAAGAAATATATGTTGCGATCAAAATAATAACTCAACAAAATACCTCCGAATGGGTTTGAAAATTGAGAATAAATAATCAAATCTACAGGAGAAGAGATCTCAATGACAGAGTTTCAAATTTAGAATGGATTTGAAAATCCAACTCAAAAACCAAATAGTAATGATAAAAGATAAAAACTAGGAGCTTATAGCTCAGATACCATATTAGAAACAAGAAAAAATAATGAAATATCTGAAGAAAGGTTTATTGCTTTTTTGTCTTCATTGTATACACAAAGATTTTATATATAGATCTATACAATAGAATATTTTTAGGTATAAAACTAATTAGTTTAAATGTATATAATCGATTACAATGTTAACATAATATTCTAACATAAATGCTAATATTCTAAAATAAATGATGATTTTCAAACGGCATGTAACATGTAAGAATAACATGTCAACACGGCCAATGCATAGCCCTATTGAAAACTAGGCATATCACACTAAATGATCCTTCCATGGAAAGGACAAGGAAAGTTCCAGATAAAGGCTCACACGGAATATATGGAAAATGCAATGTTTTTTTGTGCTATGATCCATTTGGTTATGGAGAAACCAAAATGTCTTTAAGGATAATGTCTACAGCTTGCATTAGGTATTAGAGTTGGTTAAGTTTCGTGCGCATAATTGGATTAACGTGGCCTTCAACTTGCGTAATCCTCGTTTCTTTTTTTTTTCTTTTTTTTTTTCCTCCCTAGTCCCAGCATGCAGCATGCATGTACCTAGAGTCATCACCTAGATTTCTTAAGTTCTATAACTTCGAAATTTAATATAAGATAAAAGAATCAATTCAGTGTTTATAGATTTGTCGTATCTTCTCTGTCTTCTAGTTAACACATTACTAGGAATGGTATCTCTAATGGTATCTTCTCAAAAAGTTAAACTTATAAAAGACAATTGTGATTTAGGGTGTGTTTGAAGTTGTTGTGGAGTACTATGATTATAGTTATGGTTGTAACTGTATTGAGCTGTATTATACTGTAATTGTGGCTAAAAATTATTTTGATATTTAATTATTTATTTTTTAAAAATATTATAGATAAAATGTGATAGATTTTATTAAATATTAATTAAAATTTAGAAAATATTATAAGATATATAATTATTAAAATAGATAATATTCACTATTTTTTAATAATTTAGGTTTTTAAATTTGTTATCATTTTTAAAATATTATAAATTATAATGTAATTAAATTATACAAAGTTGGGTTTAATGGGTAATTTTGCAATTATACTAAATATTATGTGTTTTCTATAAAAACCACGACTAGAAAACTCCAAAGTAATGTTTTTGGCTATATATATAAAATTACTATAAATCTATTGTAATTTTTTTGTAACTTTTAGAAAAAGTAATTGGAAAAAAAATTATCAAATACAAATATATCTAAAAACACTGTACGACTATACGAAAAAACTCTCAACTGCAATTCCAAACACACCCTTAATCTCAAAGCACAATCATAAACTCAACTCCTTTTCCTATAATATTATTCAATTCAATTAAACTCCCAAGTAGTAGTAGTAGTAGGTTTTTTTTTTTTTTTTTAAATTTGAATTACATAATAAAGAAAAATCTTCTTTTGTCTCATAACTCACTTTACTTGTAAACCTTCTGAGTGGAATTAAGAAGCTATTATTTTTATTAAAATAAAATTATTACTGAATTATTTAAAAAGTTGACTTCAATGTACTCATAATTAAATATCATATTTAATATAAACCCACTAAAGCAGCCACCTATTCATAACTCCATACAATCTGGACTTAATTAGACGCCCACTTACAAGTTGCGACATCTCCTGCTAAATTTCTCCATCATATCAATAATTAGACAATCATTTACTTAATTTGCTACTGTATTACATAACTCAAGTTGGCCACCCACCTTCCATTACTTCCTCTTCCATTACTTTCTCAATTCTTCGGTATATTCATATGCCGATGTATTGAATCTCATGCTTCAATCAAGTAAGCAATAAATTTCACTCATATAATACTCCCATTCTTTAGTATATCAATAACTGTGTTCATTTACCTATTGAAATTTATAAATTTCTTCCACTGCATAAATTAATTCCGTTTTCACTTTCCAACAAGATAAATATAGTCAACACCAATAAACTGAACCAAAAACTCACAACCAAAAATCATTCTATCTTTAACTAAATTTAAAAAGTTTTACTTTCCAACAAGATAAATATAGTCAATACCCATAAATTAAACCAAACTAACAACCAAAAATCTTTCTATCTTCAACCAAATTTATATAGAAAGCTTTACTTTCCAACAAGATAAATGTAGTCAATACCCATAAATTAAACCAAACCCACAACCAAAAATCATTCTTTCAACTAAATTTAGATATTTTGCACGCTCCTAGCAGCGCATGATAACGTACCTAAAAGAGCAAATTGGAAGTGACTTTACAAAACCCACGAGTATCCCTTGGATATACTACTAATTAATGATGAAATTAGTGCTTCAAAAATTGCTATATGCAATGAAAATTTATAAGGCATATGTTGTAAGATGCATTTTAAGTTTGTACTAATTGTATTTTTTGTAATTAATTTGTATTAAAAAATTAAAAAAATTATAATTTTATTAACTATTTAATTAAAAGTATGCATGTAGTATTAGTGATAAAAATAATATCAACCTCTGTGAATTTTCTATAAAGATTAAATGTAAAATGATATGATTAATGTACTTTTAATATATGTCCTAAACGTACAAATTCATATATAATGGTAAAACCCTACATTAAGTCCCCAAATTTATCTTAAAATTTTTTATTAAGTTCTAAACTTTTATTGAAGCAATTAAGGCCCCTAAATTTGACAATTTGAACAATTTAATTATTTTCTTTATGACAGACTTAACATATATTTGTACTTCACTTGCGTAGATAAAATATTAATATGTCATTATAGGTTTGCATAAAGAAGGTACAAATGGATATTAAATTTGCTATAAATAAAAATGTTAAACTACTTAAATTATCAAATTTATGGGTTTCTTTATTTTAATAAAAATTTAAAAGTTCAATAAAAATTCTAAAGTAAATTCAAGAACTTAACTTTGGGGCAATGGACTCCTATTGAATAAATTAAATACCTTAAATCATAATTAAACAAAAAAATAATTATCCGTGGTCGAATATTGATTATATACAAACACCCCCTTATACTCTCTGTGTTTCTTCAACTTCCATTTTCTCCCAAACAGGGGCAGCGTGTGGATCTCTTTTACTGTTCCTTTGTATGTATTAGTAACAGAGTAAATCATTTTCTCTTCTCATGTATAGCACGTTCCATGCAACTTGACTCGACAAAGTTCCCCAATTTGCTCTAGATATTTCAGTAATTAACTGACAATGTGAAAGGTTGGCCAAACAAACAAACAAAAATAAATAAATAACAATGTGAAAGACACAAACGACAGACCAATTTCACAATCATTAAAAAGAAATTAATATAGCGAATTACGTGATTTGATTTCCTAACTTCTTTTCAATGTGCTTCGGACTTTGGAGCTAGAAGGAATATTCATATCGGAAACTTTCAATTAAGGCGCCATAATGAACTCCACCGAGCCGTTCGGTGAGCCGCCCACTTTAC